CGGCACATTTGACCCCTCCTGCATGATCATTCACAACAAAATCTACTAGTTGAAATTTCGCACGATTTTCTCCCTCTAACATCAATATTCTTGGTAAATTCCCAACCCTTTCTGCGGCATTTAAAGCTCTCTTCCAACTCCCTTCACTTCTCCCCAAATGTCCCTCATAAATCCCCACTCCTCTCTTCCTCAACTCCCAAAGCTATTTCCCCTCTCTCGAGCAACGGAGGGCGGCGCTCCCCAAGTAATCCCGCCAGCGGTAATCGAGTCCTGGGGCTCTGATGCTCACCATTACCGGCAGTAACTCTACGAGGTATTTATAATTTTTTTCTCCGCCTAAAACTTGAGTGAGTGCGTCACTGAATACAAGTTTCTAAACCAGAAACGCCAAAAAACGAATTGAATTTTATTCGTAGATCAGAACACCAAGAACATCATCGCAGTCTCCCACGATGCACCACCCACCTGTTTTGATGCTAAATGTACAATTATTTGAGGAACTTTATTACTGAAGAATCTAAGCGCCTGTTGACCGATTATATTTTTTCCGCGGCCATTTTTGCGACGTTTTCTCTTCTTTTAACTGGCAATTAAATAGGATAAAAAGAAAAATAATAGAATGATTAAACTTCCATATTCAAAGCAATAAATTATTATACTATGAGTTTAGTTTAACCAAACTTGTCCATATGTTATTTATATATCAGATTAACCCCGGCGTGGCCATTAAGCCTTTGCAAGAATTAAAAACCGCTTCACTCTTGAGCAATTGAGCAAACAGAATCATTTTCTCGCCTTGAGTCAATTGAATTAATTAATTAACGCGCTTAATAACCTCGTATTCCATAATGCCTAACACTAAACAAAGAGGATCAAATTGCAAAAATACACCATGGAAAATGTTGATATGGAACCGTATATATTTTTATCGTTTGACAACGCTGCTTCCGGAAACTAAGTGATGAATCTCGAAGCGTTTCATAAAACATTGACGTGTCTTCAGCGCACACAGAAGATGTTATAATATTGTATCCAGAGCGCATCATAAACAAAAAGTACATATTGTATTCATTGCGAACACAGAACAATCCACCACATACTGTATTTATATGCGCCCAGAACAAGAACTTTCCGCATATTTTCTTCAACGCGCACTAATATCAATAAGTCAGTCACATAATTGTCTTTAGCGCGTGTCCAGAATGAAAATCGTCTAATATTATCTTCAACGCGCGCCCAGAACAATATGACGCATCGTACGTGTTGTCTTTTCTGAGCGCCTTTAATCAGAATGGTCAAGTATATATAATCTTCTTTATATTGCATGCTCAGAACAAGTCGTTATATATTGTCAACACCGAGCGACTATAACATGAATTTGATGGATTGTCTTCACCGCGCGCCAGAACGGAAGTCGTCACGTATTATCTTTGACGCGCTCACAGAACAATAATTGGGCTGAATTTTTTTTTATTACGCGCCCGGAACACGAAGTCGTCAAATATTGCCTATACAGAGCGCCCGGAACACGAAGTCGTCAAATATTGCCTATACAGAGCGCCCGGAACACGAAGCCGTCAAATATTGCCTATACAGAGCGCCCGGAACACGAAGTCATCATGTAGAAAGCTTCCGCCGTACATTCAGCACAAGCATTCATTGTACACGACGTGTACATCGAGCGCTCGCAACCCAACAGACGCCGACATGTGCACACGAATTCGTACAAGTGCTGTCACGTACAGACGAGCGCGTTGCTTGACATTCAGGAGAGCGCTGCACTGTTCCTTCTTCGAATAACTCCCCACGGAGGGTCGATTACACGGAATTCCCGCTTGTGACCCAGGTCTCCGAAACATAAACTGAACACGTACGGTACGGACTGAACGCGTATATACGGCAAGTTTGTGATTGTGATTCGTACCAGACATCGATACCTCTCATTAAGCAACGCAAATCAGGGCTTGTGTAAACAAATTTTAACATGCGCACGACTTGCTGACAACTCAAAGGCATCGCAATCAATTGGCAACGTTCGGGAGATAACATTAATGCTTCGAAGATTTAAAAGGCTTTCCAGTATACTGAAAGTTAGGAACAAATGATTTGGTCGAAAAAAGGCAATTCAATGTGTACAATATTTTCCTACAGATAATTTCGTACAATATGGTAGAAAATTCTGCATGTAGGCCTATCGTTATTTATAGTCTCACAGACTTTAGTTGATGAATTCTCGACAAGCAGAGAAGTTATGAAGGAGAAAATTATCCACGACATCAGCAGACTGGCGACATCTTTGTCCGATTGCTTGCTCAGTGAGAAAAACGCAGTAAAAGATGTCCTCGTTACTCCAACAAAACAACAAACTCAGGACATAGTTTCAAGGCAGTTATCTCATATTCTTGACGTTTCTCTTAACCTGCTATCCCAAAATCTTGGATTAAGTTGAATGCATCAAACATGATGACGGCACCTTGGTCTATCCTAAGACGATAACTGCCAACACCACGAGTCCCTTCAAACAAACTAATAAAAGCCCATTAATTGTAACTTCGAATATATTAATGTCGATAAACTCTATGTTTTCATGGGGCTTTCCTTCGATAAGTTTCGTCAAACCCTTAAGAATTTTGCTTTAAAATCTTGAATTTATTCCTGTAAGTTATCAAGCAGCTTTTTAGTCCTGAAGAAACCAGGAGCTGATTGTTCACCCAAATAATGTTAGGCCATGAGATTACCACATAATAATCAGCATTGAGGGCAAGCCTCCGCTCCTCACTCGTGCCAGCTCACAAGACGCCACGCACATTTTAATGAGCATCACATCGCTTGGCTGCTTCTTGCTTCCTCAGGAGCTCATTTTCCGGTAAGTAAGTTGAATGAAAGACTGGCTGTAAGCTTACGTCATCAAACAGCATTTTTGTCTGCTATAGGGTATACTTGCGTCGCATGGTTGCACATGATGACATAGATGAGATTTTTCAGTCACATCCTCTCGATTACAATTTAAAGCAGTTATTGAGGAATAATTGTTCCCTACCGGCTTCATGGCTACTTCGGAGAAGAGGATATTTGTTCAATTATAAACAGCCCTAAAAAGTAAGAAATCTATCAAACTTTGCTGCTTTATTTGCCTGATTTTTATTCATTGCGCGACAATCACCATTGAATTATTTAATAACTTAGATTTAGGAGTAGCAATAGGTTCTACCGTGTCCGTAAATCATTGAACGCTTGTATTTAATAGCGGTTGTACTTTGCACTTTTGATTTGATAGACAAAACCGCAATCATCGAATGTCATTTCATCTCTCGTAGTTTATTTTATGTTAATTTCATGTTGATCTAGTTCTGCTTTTCTGCGTCTCGTATGCAATAATAAATGTTTCGTGTGAATATTCAAAGCTAGCAATTTAGTGCATTTATTTCAGATAAATTCAGCAATAATGCTGAATTTTGATTTCATTCATTCCCATGCAATTCCTAAGACATTCAACACTTAAGACTTTAATGTTCGATAGAACATATGTGCATAATAATAAAGGTTTTAAATGATGCGTTGTAAGTCTGGTTTATTCTGCCGATAGTTCACAGGCGTAATTGAAGAACTGAAAATCAAGGGAAGCTACTTTCGTTCGTACATAATACACGTTATCATAAATATCTAAAGCAAAAATAATACAAGCAAGATATTAAATGCCGTAACGAATTAGATTCTTGCCTTTGGCATAAAATCAATTTAAGATGTTAACTTCCTTCCGGGACATCGGAACGAACCTTTTCCTCCTCATCAGTTAATCACACAATATTCCCTAAAATATTCATTACTGATGAAATTAGTATAGAATAAATACGTCCTACAGCTACCTCAAGTCATGTGAACAGGAGACCTACGCATCCTTGTGCCGCACCTCCAGGAAATACCGCCGCCACGTCGCGGGGCTGAAGGCGTTCCGTGGCCGTAGCGCTTTACGCCCACTCTAGCAGCGCTGCATTTAAAGCTAAACCCGTCGTGTTTAGCTTTGAGGTGCTAAACTCAACGCAATCGTGGTAGCAAATTGCTGCTTGGGCATCACGCACGTTGTGCTGGGCACCACCAAGCAAGCACGTCGCTGCCTGCGCATCACGCACGTTGTGCTGGACAACAGCTTTGATGATTTGACGATGAGCGTGTACCTAGCAATGATAAAGTACATTAAAAGCACAAAAGCCTAATCTACAAATATATTCTTGATATATTAACACGTGGAAATAAGCACTTATATGAGAATTCCAAAGACTTGAACATCGATGAGAATGTTTTGAGTACTCGCGGGGTAAAATGCATTCGTTTCCAGATGAGAAATTTGCATTGCATCTTCCAGCAGAACATCGGACAATTATTGTAGGAACTCAAAACCGCCTTCCTTGCCACTCGCCTTGCGTACTCAACGGTTAAGAATATGAACATTGTGAAACTTTAATTGAATGGCAGAACCGCGCCAAAACAGACATGGTATATGTCAGAAATTATGTATATATTTCTGGCGTGACGATGAATTGACGAATAAAACCACCTCACTTGAAGGTCATAATATACCTATATATAGCTTGCTTTGTGACAGTTCAATTCAAAGAAAATTCTTCACTATACTTCGAATTTAAAATAACACTAATTAATCGAAATAAAATTACAGCCCCAAGGGGACTTCTCTATAACATCAGTAGACACAACTGCCGAGAAAGAGAGAAATAATAAGACAGTCGGAGGCAACATAAGATGACTTAATTTCAGGGCAGTGATCATCTTTTATTAATTTACTTTAATTATTGCTGGGAATTTATTTTCTTAAGCTTCACGAGGAACCGCGGGTTGGAACATATTTTCAAAACTGACCAATTCTGATAAAAGATGGACTTTTAGCAACACACTAAAGACTGAAGCATTACAATGTATGAAAAACCTAGATAATTTTAAATTTACACATAACTTAGATGTACGTTCTATGTCATTAAACTTACCTGCGTTAGGTTTTGCAGTGGCATCAACACTCCAGACTCTGACAGGAACATGTTTGTTGTTCTGGTCCTTGTACGGCACCGCAGGCAAGCTCTCCCCACGCGTGAGCGGCGGCCTCCCAACACCACCTCCACTCCCTCCTGCCCCACTCCCCACAGAAATGTTATCCTCCAACAGAGTTCGCTTGCAAGCATCGTTGGCTCCTTCTTCCCACTCGAAGGAACGCTTCTGGGGCCTGTGTTGGGGAGGAGGGGGCAGATGTGCGGGGGGTCTCACTAGAGATGGGGGTGGGGGTCCATGAGACGGGTGACCGGAGACCTCCTCAGTTCGGTGGATGAATGGGGCGGCGGTGGCGATCATGTGGGGAGTAACACCAGGTCCCCGGGACCTGTCGCTGGTGGTGACGTAAGTGACGTGTTGGGGAGGTGGTGGGGCTTGTGTGCTGTTGTGGTGGTTGTCGTTCTTGACGTCCATTTTAATGCCAGGCTCCATCTTGACGGGATGAACGCCGTTCTGGTGGACCTCTCTGGTGTGTGGCTTGTGCTGCGAGGACGGGTGGTGCTGGTGGTGAGGCTGAGGCTGTTGTGGCACTGAAGCCGTTGCAACAGCGGCCGGGTGCTGTTGTTGGTGAGGCGGAGGAGGCTGTGAAGGTTGGTGATGATGATGGTGACTGTTCTGGACTCGTGAGTCGTGTACACGAGCCTCCACGAGGCCGTGTGCTCTCTTCATATGCCGTGCTGCCTCCAACACCAGGTCTATACGGTCTGCACCCTCGTAGTTAACACACCCACGACACACGGGCTCAGAGAACTCGTGTATCATCGCCCAGGGCATGCGGGGCAGGTCGCAGAGGTAGCAGTGCTGCCGCGTGCCTCGGTACGTCGCCATCCTCAGGCTTTTGACTTCCTCGGACAATCAAACCTCACCGGAACCCGGCCGGTGGGCCGCGCTCTTCACCAGTACGTGAACTCAACTAAGTTCACACGCCTAGGCAACAAATCCACAAGAGGTACTCTTATTGAGTACACCTCATACTACACAAAAATCAAATAGAATTCGTTACTCAACAATTTTTTCTATCAAGCCAGTCATGATTGTCAAGATTTAACCTCACGCACATGCACGCATGGAGATTCTCTGCTACGCCACAAGATGCGTCAATATCGCGTTAAAAATCCTTGCCAACGTCGGGGGAAGAAGCGACAAGGAGCCAAACATCAGGAGCCAGTGACCCCGAAGTACTAATTTCTTCGTATATCAAAGTATGAATAAAATCTATTTTACTCGTAAGTAAACTGATAGCGATGAATTAAGTGCAACACGATCGCTACGGAATTTTATTCCGTAAGGAAATTCACTCAACAGTTGACTTCACATTATATAAACAAATTTCAGAGTCTGGTTCACTTGCATCATAACGAAGCACAATTTTTTTTTTTTGCTGACAACTGAACTTCAAATCGCTTATGACTTTGAACAAAATACCGACAAACCACAATCACAAAAATCTATTTAATACACACATTTTCTCACTGAATAGCTGAAATAATTTCACATATTACACGACCTGTTACAGCTTCTTAGAAACAATGAATTAGTTTTCGAGTAGACCAATTAATTGTTGATGCTACTACGATGCACATTAAGGGTATAACAGTAGTCACACGACAACGCTCTGAAACAATAATTTTTAAAATTATTTTCATAAGTAGACCCAATTTACATTGACGAATTTCAAATTATAAAAGCTTACGTTTTCAAAGAATCTTACTTACCAGAATAAATAAGCTAATGGACAATGTTTGACTCAAAGTGTAATGGAAATAACCAACGTTTTTATCTTACACAACAGAATGATTAAATTCTTCCAGCTCGGCGGCGACCGTTTTAAATAATTGGATGGCCATGAGTATGTGAAGTGTCAAGGCTTCTTGTAAAATTTTCCATGAAATATACTGTAGGTATCAATTTATTAATGCAAGAGACCAATCAAGTCATCGGTTTCCGATGATGATTATGTTACAACTCTTCAACTCTCCCAACATCATTTTGAGTGCATTAATTATTGCATTTGGCAGGGACTGTCCGCGCTGATATATTGTATATCTACGCTCACATTGTCGTGTGTATAGTGGTAAACAAAAGATGAAAAAAATTATAAATGAAAACTATAATAAACAAAACGATAAATACAAATAACGTCAAGCGAATATAACCGTGTGTTCTCTTTGCTCTAGTTCTTCCTGCTGGCTTCAAGGTTCGGAGCCTTTCTCCGTTGTGGATCACACAGCAATGAATTAGTGCAGAGCATATACGTATGAACGAGGTCACGTCTGGGGTGACTTAATACCAAGAAATTCAAATACCAAAATGTAATAAAACACTATTGCACTGCGTCCCATGACAACATCGAATTCAACATCTCATGTTCCGAGTAAAGCAAGCTCGCACTGCACGTGGCCGTATATCAATTATCGCGACCGTTGCGTCCTGTCATTTATCACGCTTTTTCCGTGAATAACTTCACTCATAATTTAACGAGCAGATCCAAACTCCTATCAATGCGGGCAAAAAGTTACAATTCTCTCATCAAATTATCAGAACATCAAGAACCTGGCAAAAAAAAAAATTGAGACACTATTGTATAAACTAGCACGCCCACGCTCGAAGTTAACTAGCTGTTCGACCAAAATTCTAAAGATCATTTCTACTTTTCTAGAGAACCTGAACGAAATGAAGTAATTGTCGTGATTTTGACATTCATACGAACCCACAAAACATGAGCTGTAATAACGTGCCTCCATTCAAGCGTAGAGCAGAAAACATGGTATAAAGCAGCGGCAAAGCTGCTCAGGAAAAACGAGACGCGAGTTCTGCACTATAGCGACTAACCTTCGCTATTTCAAGCCGTGCACTGATAAGGTCAAACTGAGCAACGGAAGCCTTGCGGTGGACGGCAAACATGAAAACACGCAAACCACGTCGATAAAAGATGAATTAATTCAATGTCTGGAATCTTATGAAAAACTCGCATTGATTGTCATGAAGATACGCTGAAAAATTATGGAACAGTTTCGGCAAGCTAGTGAAACAGTTATTTGCGAGCTAGTGCTCAGAGATAACGAAATGGTTTTTGAACAGCTATCGATACGAGATAACGGTTCATTTGAAGCAATCTCTTGATAGGAATTGAAAGAAGCCAGTTATTGCCAAACCAATGAGAACGCAAGTCAGTCATTGCTTATTGCTCTGCCAGCGATAAGAGATAACGAATCATTTATCGCCGAATTGGCGATAAGAAGTAACGAACAAGATGCAAGCTATTCAGAAATTGAAGACAACACTACTTAATGGTAAAGCTATTTGCAAATAGTGCATTATTTATTAATTTGTATCAGTCAAATATAAATTATATTGAAAATTGAAACCAGCCTGAAATATGCATTCGTCAATCCCTTACAAAAAACATCAGTGATACCCACACCCAACAACATGCCTCTTAACAATTTTCCTGAAGTCTCACACAGCAGTGATGAGTTTTCTCATCGCTTATCGAAGTACCGTTTACATCGGATTTCATTGAGAAATTAATGAATTAGCTGATAGACGTGGAGTTTTAGCTGCGTAGTGAGTCAGAGTGTCAGACAAATGCTTGAGTTCTTGCGAGACTACAGCCTGAGCTGAGTCCAGGGAACAGAACATAGGTACATCGGGATACATTCAAACAAGTGCATTTGTGAGTAGCACTTGTAAAATAAAAGATAAAAATAATAAATACCGTAATTAGCACAATTAAAATTTAAACATTTACTCACTGTGCCCTCAATTAAAATAATTGGTAAGCAAGAGACGCTGGTAAAAGAACCAACCAGAATCACGGACGGATCATGTCTTGGGGCAGTCGATTCTGTGCAGATTTCCCCACTATATTTACCTACAAACACCAGCACAACAATTTATATTGGTTTACTTGCCATTTTAGCCTAAGTTATGTTAGTATCTGTTTAGGTTTACAGGTTAATTAAGATTCAAAGGTATGTATCTTACATTGGAAAACGTAACGAATATTCATTCTGAATCTATTGTAACGATAAAGAAGCATTTGAGTCATATTATGGAACACTGCAAACGCGAGAGATAGCAGAAGAGTGCTTTCGTTGTCGTCTCAATGCATTCGTTGATGTCAAAAACTCGAGAAAAAACAGTTGCAGACGAGGACGCAGTACAGTAAAAAAAATATTAATCAACGGCAGGACTTCTACTAATGCTGAATTTTTTTTTTCAAGCATACTACCAATAATTTACACCATTTCCAACTAACATGTCGGTCACCTCTCTTCGCGACGTGGTATTTTGTGACCAGACACTAAATGAAGAAAGCGACTTCAATGTTGCACTTCAGCCACTCAACAACTAAATAATGTGTAGATAGCATTATCGCTCATCGTCCTTTCCAACCTACACAAAATCGACACCGGTCATACAAAACACATTCCTAACCTGACCTAATGTCGAGCAAAAACCCGACATGCGTGAGTGCAGATGTTTTCATACAGAAGGTTATGCTCATGACTGTGACGTCATAATGTGTACGTAAGCTTCACTTCACGTAACCTCACTCGAAGAAGGCCAGTAAGGCACTGATAACTCAGCTCGCAGCCTCGCACTCGCACACGACTCGCAGTCCCCGTATCTCAGTCCCTGGCCTGGAATTTCGTTAAACACATGCTTTTATTACTTAAAATTCCCTCCTTCACACTGGTTATTCCAATCATTTTTCTGTCAATCTCATGCAAGATACGCCAGAAACTGAGATCTTGAACTCAAAACAAGTAAATCGTTTGATATGAAATGAATCGCATAGATATGATAGTTATCGCACAGCGAAGGCGGCAGCTAGTGGTATAACTGTCAGTGATATTGAAAAACTACAACGAATCTTAATTTTGGATGATATGAGCACAGATTTAGCCCGTTACCAGCTGATTAATCGCATTTTAACTCGTGGTAGCACCGTTAGAGTTGCTCAAAAACTGATGCAGAGAATCATACTTCGTTAATGACTAGAGTTGCACACAGGAATAAAGTACTGATTTGAAGCCAGGCTTCCTTGGGAAGGGCGTAGTGATAGTGATTAAAAATTTCAGTTTTTGGCACTGGACGCCGTCCTGAGCATGTACGAACAAACACACAGCTGCGCGCAGCACTGAACATGGCCACAAACGAACGAACACATCACACGTACACATAACAGAGCTACACCGACACGCCTACACACATGCACGACGTACAAACTAACTCACCAGCCATACAAACAAACGTACGAACGCTGCGAGCCACGTACGAACGAACACACTCTCTCGTGATGTGCTTTGTTCGGTTTAGACGAACACACGAACAAACTGAGTCGTAACTACCAGTCATGTGCGCACAACCATGTGCGCGGGAACAAGCTGAAGGCATTAGTGCGCACGCACGCAGTGACGTGATCGTGCGCAGGTACAGGCGGATCACAGCACAGGCAGGACAAAGCGCCCCGCGTCATGCTCATACTCTAGGAACGTATCTAGGATACGGACCCACATATAACTCTGCCTGCCCAGAATATTTATTGCCTTCACTTCCTGTATAGCCGAGGGTCTGGAGCGCTGCCTGGCTGATCCTTCATCGGGTCACGTGACATGACCTCGTAATTGATGAGGATTTTGCCGAGGATGGATTTGTACACTTGATGTTTGGTGACGTTATAATTAACGAGGAATTAATCGTATAATGGAAGTGTACTTATGATGTTTAGTGATGTTATAATTAATGAGGCAGTAATCATAGGATGGATTTGTACCTATAATGTTTGGTGGCGTTATAATTAATGAGGATTTAGCCGTATAATGGATTTGCACCTATGATGTTTGGTGATACGATTTATGGTTATTCATAGTAATTTTTTACAAACGTTGTTTAACTAAACGTGAATCTCATAATGCTCTTCCACCAATTCATCTGACTTGATGCATTAATAAAGTTAAGCTGCAGAAGTAATTAGCCAAAGTTATGATGTTTTTATTCACTTATGTTATTGGTTACAAGCCCCTGAATTGTCAACGACAAAAGCTTCCCTGTCTCAGGACAACGCATGAAAATCGTGAAATCAATTTGTTATTCAGCGCGTGGTTAACATTGCTCTAAGATCTAAGTGAATAGATGTAATGCCTTTACGTAGTAACTTATGTTGTACTATCATTTCGCTTTCAAATTATGTAAAGTCTTGACACAACAATTTTCTCCATTTGTTTGTTTCATTTAGAGACCACAGACGAGGTTTGCCTTCATTGCGTCACCGCTGATTGTGTTGCTGGCAGAGGGCGCTGCGATCGCACGTAAGTCAAGCAATAGAGTATACCACCACTGTAAGTTACGTAAGTTATCAGCATGCTTCACAGCCTGCGTACAGTCGCTTGCCAAGCTCAACGCCACTTGAATAATTTGGACAAACTTTGTTATACTCAAATTCAAATTTTAGTCCTGCTTGTACTTCTGAATTGATCTGCTGTTCGTAGAGATTCGGAAGCATATCTGTTCGTGCCTGTCTCCATTGACTGGTGTGCACGTTTAAACTTGCTATAAATACAGCCCGGGTTGATTTGCATGCTAGTTTAAACTTGCCAACACAGCCCGCGTTGACTTGCATGCTAGTTTAAACTTGCCAACACAGCCCGCGTTGACTTGCATGCTCGTTTAAACTTGCCAATACAGGATCCTGAGTAGCGTTGATGTAGATAACATGAGACTTTAGCAATTGATCGCCTGAGGGAAATTCGATGTCATTAGGAACAACCCATTTGAGGTATCAACTAATTTTGAAT